ATAGCTTCATTGTCACATCCACAAAGCAGCATCGATCTATTGATATCAATACTGTTTATTGGTTTGTGCATAGCAGCACACAGTGAAGTCACGTTAACTTTTCCATTTGTACTAATTGTATTCAACCAATGCATGTCCGCAGAATCTAAAACAGAATATTAAAATTAACTTATTATGTTGGAGATTTATACAGGCGTGGATATTTTAAACTCTAAAATATTTTAAGGTAATTCTCTCCTCAAATTCGAGATAAAAACTTCATGTAATTATACGTCTGAATCATACGGCTTATTTTTAACTTTCAAAGATACAGAGTATCAAAATTGAAAGAAAAATTTCATTTTTTTCAAAGATTTCAAATAGATTTCACTTAGATTTTTTTGGCAAAATTTTCTTATAAGACACAATATTCCTAGAATATTATAAATATTTAAAAAGGGCAAATAATATTCATATAATCTTCTAAGGATATTGTGTGTGCTTATAAGATATATTCAAATTTTCATCAAAATAACTCTTATAATCATATGAAGTTTTTCGTGAATTTGTGTAAGGAATTTTCCTTTAAAATTTTTTAGAGTATTAACTTTTTTAATCAACAATTATTTTCAAGTTATTTACCGAGTTTCAATTTTGAACTTTGTGCATTATTCCAATGCCACAATTCTCCACTGACAGAACAAGTGAAAAGATTATCAGGTCTGTCTTGGTGGAATAGTATCTCACTAACGGCTTTGGTGTGCGCATTAAGTTGCGACATTGGATAAGTGTTCTGCCTTAAATCCCACACAGTTAAACTGCCGTCGTCTCCACCAGCGACCACAATATGTCTTTGTGTAGGATGATGTGTAATACTTGTAGCTGCTGTCTGTAAAATCATTTGTTACTTTATAAAACTTATACGATACTTTACTTTATAAAATTTATAAGATTTTGTAGAACTTGAGTAAAAAAATTAAAGATTTATACATATATTAAAATTATAGTAAAAAATATATTAAACTTGCCTTAACTTGATCAGAAAGCATAAAAGTAGTTGCAGGCATATCCCGATCATTTCTCAAATCCCAAACTTTCATATGTCCTCTTGAATTTCCCATAAGCACTTCATTGTGTTTTAAGAAATCAACACAATATATAGAACAGCTATCAGCATTTTCTGAAATAATTTAATTAAAAGATAATAAATATTTAAATACAACAATCAGATTATGCAATTATTATAGATATAAATTAAGACACATGCAGCAATTACCAATAATTCTAACTGGTTTCTTCTCTGTAGCTGTGAGAAGATTAAGCTTTCCATCCTCTCCTACTGAAGCTATATCTTGTTCAAAATTGGACAATGCAGTGCAAGAGGCATAATCCGTTGTCCTATAAAAATGCATTATTAAGAATATAATAAAATTTCACATTTTTACTTCGAAATACTTAATACAATCGAAATATTTAATACAATCAATTTAATAAATTACTTACTTAAAACTATGTATAAATTCCCATGCCATGTGTTCCTTAAATTCAGTACATGCATCCTCATCAATTTGTAATAATCTTATTGAACCTAAAGACGAAGCAGCGACAAAGAAATCTTTGCTGATAAACTAAACATATATGTTCTATTAATTTTTCATATAAAATAAAAATTATTAGTTTTATCAAGAAGGAATAGTTTATTACTTTCAATTCAGTTACATCCCCAAGGAATGAATACGATGACAAAACTACTGGATATGATTCTTCATCGTAATTTGTTCTAAATGTCCAATATGTTATTTTATTTACCTGCATTGAACAAGATTAAATTTTGAACTATTTGAACTAATATCATTATTATAAATTGTTAATTTCTATTATTGAGAAATATATAAATATATATAAATATAACAAATATATTTGTACATTGTATAAATAAATATAAATAAATATAAATATAGAAATTTATTAAATAAATGTTAATTATTTAAATATATATTTATCTAGAACGTCTAGAATATAAATTTATAGGTTAGATATGTCTATCAGAAATCTTACAGGGTTATCCCAACTGCCAGTTAAAAAATTCTTCGCTTCCACAAAATTTCCAAACTGCCACCTTATTTTAGAAATTTTCTCAGATACAAATGTTCCCTGTACATTTTCACCCATTTTTCAGATACAAATTGGTGCGAATTCAGCCGGAAGAAAAAGTTGAGTAATACAGTAGTAATACAGTGTCGGAGTCGTCGGAGTGGTCCAGCTGATCATCTGTTCTCCGGTTCGCGATTCCCACTCTGAAAAGTGCGCCATTGCGCACTTTTTCCTTATTTATAAGTCCTTATATATAATATTATAGCTCGTATTCAGAACGGGCTTACAACGATATTAGCGCTAAAATACTCTATATTTTACCTTTCGCATATTATAGAATTACACATATTTCAAAGATAAAAGCGTGCTTTTATCGAGCGCATTCTGAATACAGACCTATATAAATAAACAACAAAAGTTTATGTATTATGCACGCTCTTTTTATCTTTTTTTTTCTTCGATAAATAATTATGTATTTCATTTTTTTTAAGTGCAGAATCATTGCAATTTACAACTACTGTAATGAATCTAGAAAACAAATTTCATATATAATTATATACATATATTGGTAATTACATAAAAAATTATATATAAAAAAATTATATAATTATTAGGTGTACAACTTTGCTTCCGCCGTTTTCCTATAGATGGCTTTAGCGGTAAGTGGTGGTCGAAATAAATAGATCATAGACGTCATACAATAAACTTGGGCATCTGTCAACATAACCCCATAGAAACATTAGTCGATTTGTGTCTGCATCATAAAGTTATTCTCGATTGAAAATGT